GTAGTTCGCCTCCTCGCACTTAAAGTTTTGCATCAGCTTGTGCTGCACCTTCATTACATCCTGCTTGCTACTCCCGAACAGGAGGATATCATCCACCTACACCAGAAACATGACAAGAGTTTTCTTCTCCCCCATAAGGAAGAGACTCTCATCACATGCACTTGCTCTGAAGCCTATCTCCTCCAACACCGATGACTGCTCTTTGTACCAGCAGCGAGGTGCTTGTTTAAGGCCATGAATTGCCTTAATCAGCTTGCACACACATCCGGTACCGTCCTCATAACCCGGCGGCTGCGTCATGTAGACCTCCTTATCTAGAAGTCTGTAGAAGAATGATGTAGTGATGTCGTCAATTTCAATTCTCCCAATATCAAAGGGTTTGTCGTCGCCTCGTGGTCCGGGAGAGCTGGTAATAGGGTTACAACACACGTGGCGTAGTCAATGGCCAGCAGAAGATTACGAAGCTTACGAAGCTTACGGGATGACAGACTAACGCATCATCACATTCTCTAATGTCTTTCCGAACCACTCTCAAACACTGGGAAAACTTCAAAACCATACAGCCTCTGCTTTGTAATGTTTCGCGCCCCACAGACGGAGGGCAAATCCGCCCCGTCAGCACTGACAACTAGGTGCTGACTCACTAGGAGAATACCCCACGCGCCTGTGGCCAAATCGTGGCTCGGTGCGAAGTTTTTGAAATTAGCACGGGTTAGGTGTATCACCGAGCCACACATGGCTGCAATGACATGTAGAACTCATAGTGTTGGTGGCTTCTTCTTGATTTGATGGGCCCAAGTCACTCAGCTCCAATAATCAACAATGGTGAGAAAATGATGTTCACCCTGTTCCCCTAATAACAGCAACAGCCCCACCAGATCCACGTGAACTACCTCTAAGAGCACGTGAACTAGCTCTAAGAGCTTCTTGCCGCCACCCTCGGTTGCATGAAAAGGGTAGCATGTGAACTTGCTCAGCATGCAAATCTCACACTTGTTGGAAGACTCCTGCACCAATCAGCTTCAGCCCCTTGACCCCTTCCCCTTTTGTAGTTGCTGAAGTGCGGGCATAGCAATGTGCCCGAGGCAACGGTGAGCTGCCATCCGGTCCGTTTCACCACCCCTCGCTGAAACCTTCAACTCCTATGCAGCTGCAGCATTGCACTCCTCCTAGAATTCACTCTCCTTGCGCCATGATATTACCGGAAGCTGCCACATGGACCTGCAAATGTCCCGGTTTTTGTGGAAGGTCCCAGAGCACCGACTTTCTTAGCTGAACGTTGTGAAGAAGAAAACCTACGATTACGGTCACAACCCACCTTATTCAGAGTTGTGTAGGTAAGCATACCACATGCCCTTGTCATCTTTCAAAGAGTATCATACGCCCCTTGTCGAAACTGAGAAGCAAACAAGATGGAAATGTGTGTGCACACGTGTATCTGATGAGAAAAAAGGGAGGAATTAAGGACCAAATCAACAAATAAGAACCGTTGACACAACCACAATACAGCACAGTCATATAATGAGTCGTCGAGGAAAAAAACTGAAAAAAAAAAGGGAAAAGAGATGGGTGATGGGGACATAGCAAAACCTGGAAGAAAAGAAAGTGGAGACATGAGAGTTCTCACTAAATGGAAAAAGAGTGGAAATAAGGCCAGCCTAAAAAAAATACCATATATCAAGAATGGTCAAGGAGGAGCGAAAATGCGACAATATAAAACATATGTGCTTTGAACGAAGGGACCAGTGATGAAAGTGTTGTGGGGTCTGAGGGAGCGAATGCTATGTGAGAGTGCTAGGGGTGCAGTGCAAGAGATGCTTTGGAGGTAGCAAGGGGCATAGGAAATGGAGTGCCGAAGGGGCAGCAAGGGGTAAGTTGCTGTAGGGTAAGCAAGACAAGTACTACGAAGGTAGCTAAAGGTGTGGCAAGGTTGAATATTAACTCACATGATCTTCGAACTTGAGAACGACCTTAGAGGTCCCTCTCATCGGTGTTATAGTAAACGTTCGTTATCCTTTATCAAGGGCACGGATGTTATGTAGAAGAATGCGGTCAATTGGGTGGTGGACCGAGTCGATTGGCAGCAATGGACCATCTTAAGGAAATACACCTGGTATCAATGAAGAAGTAAAAATAGTTAGAAAAGATGACAATATATATGAAGAAAACAGAAATGACGCACGCACCATATCATTTTTCACAGCCAATAGAAACTCATCTTTCAAAAAGATTGCAGCGGACTAACAAACGAGTTTGACCTTGAACACAATGAATAAGGTAGAATCCAACATGTTCACTTCGTCTATGAACTTTGCTTTGGCATGTTTAGCTGACTCTGCATCCTGTGTGTTTGCACATACAATTAAAGTAAAGAAAGTTTCTTACAGTGGATTCGTAGAATTCAATCATATCTTCCTGCCACTTCCTAGTGTTTCGGGCATGTGTTCGCACGTACTTGATCACCTCTCTTATTATTTCCAAAGATGAGGCTCCAAATTTATTGGAAGATGTAACTCCAAAGCGAGCATTCAGTTGCAAGCCCGCCAGCCGGTGAAGCATGTGAACCTATACGATACATATATATGGCACACGAACGAAGTCTTGAAAATTAATCGTTTGCATTATGAAAGTTTTTGGCAGAATGTTAATAGAACTAATGAGGATTGTTTAAATCTCACATACAAGTATACTTGCTCAATATCAATTTTGCCCTCCACTTTGTCATCCTTCGGAAACTCTCTTTTGCAAAACACGATGAGCAAAGGCACTTCGGGTGCTACTCTTGCTCGAGATGCTTGCTGCACATAGTCTCCTATGAAGCGTGAGTCGCTGATCCAAGTATACTGTCGTGCCTCTACACTCCCCTCGACCTCGCAGAACCCAAATGACGCATAAGCTTGTAGACCCAATATTTTGGCCAAATCCTGCTTCACATGAAAATCAATTCATACCAAATAACACACAAAGGCAACATGAGCTAAAATGGCACAAGAGTGTGATCCATCCAAAGCTTCATAAAAGTCATGACAATAAAGAACATGATAGAGATAAAATGTTAAAGTAGAGAAAACATGACGTTTTGCAAAGCTATGCTTATGTATTTCACATGTAATTAATGAGAGCATAACAATATGAACTTACAGCCCACATGTTATTGAATTTTGTGTGGATGAGGTAAGGTAGAGTGTATTGGGAGTTATCGAGGATGTGCAGTGTTACCGACTGCTATACCGACTGCTGCACCGACTGCTACTTATCCGACATCATGGCCAAGACCTCACCGGCTGAAGGTAAGTAATCCCTAGAACCACCCTTATCTACTCTTTCAACCACCTGCCACACGGTGTGCGACGCTCGCTGCAATTCTTCGTCACCCGTGGAATGAAATACTTCAATCGGAAATTCTCTTATCGGGAATAAGTCCGGGGGGTAGAAGACGGTGAGACAACACCACACCAGTGCGCTGCATCTCCCTTGAAGCTACCGGCCTTCGCATTTGGGGCTGCAAGGTGTACGTTCTCACTCCTCTGCCTGGCCGCTCCAGCGTTGTAGACAAGTTCCATCTTGGGCACAACCGCGACTCTCCCGGCTGCCTGTTTCTTCACCCTCCTTCCGGTCGTATCATCCGCAGCATCGACGCTGTCTTTTTACTCCTTATTACTCCACTCGTCCGCTCAATCCACTCCCTCCTCCCTCTTGCCTCCTCACCTGGACCGATATTGTCCTCTCACCCCTCCCTCCCTGTCTTAGCTCGCCTCCGTGTCTTGCGCTCAGAGGAGTTGAATGTCCAGTGTCTGCGGAAAGGGGGCGCGAGGAGGGGGCACGGGCGAGGGCCGCGGTGAGGGGGCGCGCTCGTAGGCCCCAAGGAGGGGGCAAAGGCGCGTCAGAGGGCCGCGGAGAGGGGGCGCGGGCGCGGGCCGCTGGAAGGGGCGCGCCCGTAGGCCCTACGGAGGGGGCGAGGGCGCGCCCGTGATCGGTTGACATTTTTGAAGAGTTTGGACAAAATTCGTGTGATAAAATGTGAAGAGTTTGGACAACATTCGTGTGATGAAAGATCACATATTTATAGATTCTGGTTTCGTACATATTTTAGATTTTCCCTATAATACAAACGGTAACCATCAATTTGCTCGATATTTGCTATATTTTTTTACATCCAAACAGACTAAATGTGGCAACCGTTATATGGCCACTAAGGAAGACACAATGCTTTTAAATGATGCATAGGTTGAAAAGCGAAAAAGAGTTATTCCTCTTGTATCTTTTTTCCGTAATTCTTGTTCTTCATTAGGTCGTTTGTTAAATGGAGGAAACTTTGCATAAAACTAATAATGATTAAAAATGTCAAATGACATCCAAAACTTGCCTGTCCAGATGACCGAAAAATCAGTAGATTAAGTTACATGTGTAACTTAAAGACCAAAGTCATCAGCTAAATCGGTCTATGTGCCAATCCTCGGGGTTTCTAATGAGAGGATGACCTGGATTTAAGTATGAGCACCATCGGCCAGAGCCGAGAAACATTCAAAAAGAAGGGTTGCTTAGGCATGCTAGGCTGCTAGGGAAACTACATAAGCGACAGTGACAAGGTGAGAAAGGAGCTGTTGGATGCCCTGACGCTCGCTGAGGATAAGGGGAAGGAGGATGGGGCAACCGCCATGCAAGGGGTTTCGAAAGTAGTGGCAGCTGCTCCGCGGGAGATTATGCATGAGGACCTGATCCCAAGCAACCTAGTCTTCCAGGTCCCGCAATGCGACGTCCACCTAGGCAAACATCGCTTAACCGCCACAGTCGATTCCGGTGCATCCCAGACGGCTCTTTCGCACGTCATAGCTAGGAAGTTAGGGCTGCTACCTTACCTCCAAGATACTGCAATAGAGTATACCACCTCTAAAGGTGAGGCGTCAAAGCCGTGGGGTATTCTTCCTGACGTACTGGTGCGGGTGGGGAAGCTGACCCTCCCAATCGACATAGCAGTGACCGGGGCGAATACCTATGACATGCTGCTAGGACAGTACTGGATCTACTTGGCTAATGCGGATATCCTGACCAGCAAGGGCCAGATAGTGTACCGAGTCAATACCAAAGAGACAGATTCGGTCCCTATCACCACTGGACCCGTGGGTACGGGTTGTCGCCCCTCCTATGTGTCCCTCCCGCCCCAAACACCCCGCAAGAATGATCATAAGCCTTCTCAGCACTGGTCCGGTATGGACGAGGAGGACTTCCAGCGGTGGTTGGAGAAGAAGCAGCTCCTCCTGGCCGAAGAGCAGGGGCGTATCCGACTGACGGAGGAGGAGGCGGACTATTGGGCGTGGGTACAAGAGGAAGAGGAGTTGGATCGGGCGGAGCTGGAAGCACTGGAACTCAAGGAGCGTGAGTTCTATGAGGAGCTCGGGGCAGACGGGCTCGATGATATACCCGAAGGAGGTGAGCCAGAAGGGGAAGTCGGGACAGATAACGATATGTCTAGCCTCTTCGAGTCAGACGGGAAACATTACTCTGACCTTGGGGCAACGGATATGGACGAAGAGGCTGGGGAACTACAATGGGACATGGGGTATGAGGAGGCCAGGAAGGCTGTGGAGGCAAAAGGGGAAATCATGGATCAATGGGAAGAGGATTCAATGACGGACGGGGAAGAATACGTGGTGGATGTCAAGGAGGAAGGGAAGCTTGCATACGAGGGAAAGGAGCACCGGACAAATTTGGATTACCTGTTCGAGCTATTCAACTACCCGGCAGCCGGCAGCTGAACGATGGCAATACATAGCTGCTGCAAAGGGGGATGAGGGCCGGATAGTTTTCGGCAGTTAATATAGCCTAATAAAGGAAGCTCCTAGAGTTGTCTGCCCTGCCTTCGAGGACTTGCTGGTGTCGCTCAACCACGAACTGGGGACAGACCTGCAGACGGACCGGAGGAAACTGCTGGTAGAATATCGGGAGGTCATTGCTACGGAAGCAGAACCGCTAGGGACCCACCCCACCGTCCTCCATCATATTGCCATCGGTGTCAGACAAACCCATCTCCCACAAACCATACCGTGTCCCCCCCTCTGAACGAGCTCGGATAGAAGAGGAGGTAGCGGGCCTCTTAGAGCAAGGAGTGATCCAACCCTCCAACAGCCCCTGGGCCTCCGACTGCGTTGTCATCCCGAAAAAGGAGTTCGGTGATCGAGTAGTGATCAACGCAGTGACGGAAGCATCGGACCAGCTTTCTATGCCGAGGATCAATGACATCCTCGACCGAAGGACAGGGTCCCTGTACTTCTCCGTCCTCGATGCCAGGTCGGCCTACCATACCATCAGGGTGGCCGAGGAGGACATCCCTAAGACCGCATTCGAGACCTCCTCAGGCCAATATGAGTATGTGAGGATGCCTTTTGGTCTGAAAAATGTCCCTGCCACTTTCCAATGCCTCATGACCACCACTTTCCACACCTACGTTAACGTCATCCCCTATCCCGATGATTTCATAGTGTTTTCCAAAAGTTGGGAGGAGCACCTGGAGCATCTGCGAGAAGTTTTCGAACAGGTGAAGGCCAACCACCTGCTCCTCAAGCCTAACAAATGCGAACTAGGGTTCTACTCCACGATCTACTTGGGGCACATCGTGACACGGGATGGGGTGAAGCCGGATGCTGGAAAGGTGGAGGCGATCAGTAACATGTCGGCGCCGGTGGATGTGAAAGGGGTCCCGGAGTTCCTGGGGTGCACTAGTTACTACCGGCGATTCATCAAGGGGTATGCGAAGGTGGCGCATCCCCTCACGCAGCTGGTGTACAAGGACCGTCCGTTTGAGTGGACAGATGAATGAGAGAAGACATTCAATGCCCTCGAATTGGCTCTAATCTCCACCCATCCTTGCATTCCCAGATTTTTCTGAGCCCTTTATCCTCCTGACGGACTTTTCTGCTACGGCCTTGGGGGCCATCCTAGCTCAAAAGGATGGAAAGGGAGCGGAACGACTGGTGGCGTACGCTAGCCGTACAACGAGGGGGGCGGAGAAGAACCTGTCGTCCACCCACGGGGGGTGCTTGGCAGTAGTATGGGCCATCAAACATTTCCGCCCTTACCTCTATGGGAGCTGATTCCTGCTGCAGACCGACCACAAAGCCCTCCAATGGCTAATGACGGCCAAGGACTTAACGGGCGAGTTGGCCAGGTGGAGTCTACTACTTCAGGAGTATGACTTTACCATCTCCTACCGGCCTGGGGAGACACCACGGAATGTGGATGCACTTAGCCGCATGCACCAGGGGCTGCATCAACAGTCCGTGGGAAAGGCACGTTCATATGCACACTCACCTTCCCTGTCCCCCATCTCAAAAGCCATCCCCATGTTCACAAATCTGTTCCCACGATCACCCCCACCACCACCAGCTGGGAAAGGAAGCAGCAGCTCGGTTGATGGGGAAGGGGAAGGAGGGGATAGTGGTGAGGAGGAAGAAGGAGAACGCGTGGATGTCCGCGAGTCGGAGGAGATGAGTAGCAATACGGAGAAGCGGGAAGGGGAAGAGGAAGGAGACGTCGTACAAGCCGGGTCCGAAGGGTCCAAGGAAGGAGATGGTGATGAGGAATCAAGAGAAGAAGGCGATGAAGCGGAGGGATCCGAGGATGAAGACGGCGAGGACGAGGGAGAAGAGGAGGAGTCGGGAGAGGGAGATGAGGAGATGGTGGCCCCGGGGGTAGAACGGCAAGAGAATGACCCTGAAGGGCCCGAGGAGAGGACGCCGTCACCGCCAATGACGCAACCTCTTAAAAAAGGTCATACGGGAAAGGGGGAAAGAAAAGGAGGAAGCCGGGCCCTCGAAGGAGGATGGGGTTCAGGCAGGGGAAGCAGTCGTGGCCTCAAAAGGGGATGGAAAGGGGGCAGAATGAGTTGGACCCTCACACGGAGCCAAGGGCGGAGAGCAGCCGGGTAAAAGTCTCGCATACGAGACGACCACGCTATTTATATGGGACGACCTCAATACCCTTTTTTACATGGAGTACGAGGAAGTTGATCCAGCGTGGACTACGGCGGAGAAGCGGAGAGTGCGGGCCTGAGGGAAGAAGTTCGAATCGCGGAATGGGGTGCTGTGGAACCTGAAGGCAACGGGGGATAAAAATTCAGTTTCTAGGAAGGAAGAGAGGGGGGGAATCATTAGCTTCGTTCACGGGCTGGGGCACCTTGGGGTCCAACGCACCACCGACCTGGTGTGGAAGCAGTACGACTGATATGGCATGGGGAGTGACGTATCGGCCTTCGTACGTCAGTGACCTACCTGCACTTTCCAGAAAGGGTCTTGGACGGCAAAAGGGGAGCTGTGGCCAGTCCCAGTAATAAAGCCATGGGACCGGTTGGTGATCAACTTTGTCGGCCCGCTACCAGTGACGGAAAATGGGGGGAACCGGTATATCATATCGGCTATGGACCACTTCACCAAGTGGCCCGAGTGCAAGGCGGTGAGACAAGCAGATTCAGCAACAGCAGCCGCATTTGTAGCTTAGAAAATCCTCTCTGCACATGGTTGCCTGCTGGTGACCCACACGGACAATGTGCAGCACTTCCGTGGGGAGTTCGAGGTGCTGCTAGAAAAGTTCGGGATCTACCACGAATTCTCTCGCCCCAATCATCCTCGGAGCTCGGGGCTCATCGAGAGGTTCCAGCGGACACTGAAAGGGGCATTGGTTAGGCTGGGGGAGACCAACCCGTTTGAATGGGATGAGAATATCTGGGTAGTCCTGTTGGGGTACCGGGGCTCTAACCATTCCTCCACAAATTTCTCCCCGTTTTTCCTACTCTATGGTCGCCATCCCAACATCTCGGGTAGCAACTTGACGGAATGGGAGCTGAAAGAGCTGACCGAGCTATCCACCGTGGAGGAAGCGGATGCAGCAGCCGGGTATATCTATGAACGGTCCTCGGAGATGGAGCTGGCTTTGGCAAAGGCAGCTGAGAATCATGATAACGCACAGGAGAAGCAGAAGGTCGACTTTGACCGGCGTTGAACCATCCTGGAGCCGATCATGATAGGGGATTTCATCGGGGATTGCCAACCAAGCAGGTGGCATGGGCAGACCAGGACCGGAAATACAAAACGCTCTTCCGAGTCAAGGAGGTAGAAGCGTTTCATGTGACCGTGGAGGCCAAAGGGGGAGTGGTATGGCGGGAGTCCCGGGAAAACGTGAAAGTGGTGCAGGTGACCCTGTGATTCTGACTCACCCCAACCCCTCCTAGGGGCAAAAACGCACCCCTCCACCTTCTGACCACTTCTCCCTTGTGTCAGGAGCCACAAGACCGCATTTGGGAAAGTTACAGTAGCATACCTTATTGTCTAATAACTTCGCTTGCGTCCATCATTCGTCACTTGAGAGCGCCCCTGATATCACTGGGGGTTGCTATCACAAGGATCCTCAGTGACATTTTTGCACGAACGTCCTCATGCTATTGGCGTGCCAGTTTTCATTAGCAACGTGTATCTTAAGTTAGCAATGTTCATGACCACGAAGTGTGTGGTTTATGAACCATAGGATTCAGGTTACTGTTTTTTCGAACCCTGCTCTCCAGCATACGGAATTTCCCAATGGTTTTTAAAGTCCCACAAGGGTTATGTTCGAAATGATAAACACACAATTTATACTAATCTCAAGCACAATTGAGAAAGTAACCCAAACGTGTCCCACACTCCTTGTTTTACATCGAGCCGCACACACAATGAACCTTCTTTTCTTTAACTCTCCTTAAGTCCGAAATTCGGTGCCTTGTGGACCACGCTGTGTTTCAACCCCCAACTTATCTCCTGTCAAACCTAATATCCCCTTCTATACATTTATTCCTCCATTTCGACATCTTCTCCCCTGCTTCTTTTCTGATTCCATCACCGTAGTCCACACGGCATGCCACATATTAGTTTCTTCTCTCTTTTGTTTCTCATTTTCTATACGCCACCGACTAATAGCATCCGCCGTCAGTCAATCTATCAGGGTGGTTCCACGACCAACTCCAACAATCTTCCATGTGGTTCGTGAACCATACACTCCTCCGTACTACTCCTCTTCTCCTCTACTCCTTGCAGACAAATTCGGCTTCATACTCTCTTACAACTTGAACCTCTGCTTACGAGTTTTAAGATTTATGGCATTCACAACTAAACCATCATATATTTTCTTCAGTCTCACGCTCCTTCTTTGTCAGCTGAACCACAATCACCTGATGAAGTTAATTGACATCATCGTGTGCCTCCTCCTGAAGCAAATGCCCTTTTGCAGTTGCAATTGTCTTAGATCCTTTCACCATAAAGTTCCCATTTGCAGCTTCACGTCCACCATACATTGCACTCACTACATCATCATCAAATCCATATTTTGCTACAAAAATGGTGATACTCGTACCTCCATTCACAGCTATCTGCTGTATGGGTGTCATCCTTCACCCTTACACAACTGTCTACCTAATCAAGTTTACCTTCAAGTCCTCAACCAACATGCTCTCTTCAACTCCATTTTTACATTAGGGCTCTTCAGCACCACTTCACCCTGTCCCGTAACATATAGTTTCTCGTTGTTACCATCCAGAATGTAGCTCTCACTAGACTCTCTTATATTCTTCGTCAAGTATGACATGAAAGTCATATGACAAATGCATCTGCTGTAAAAAAACAATGACGCACTCTTACGTCCATCCGTCCGCTCATTCACATTTGGCACCCACACCACGTCCGTTCGATGCGCTCCTCCAAGGACCACATCCTCCTTTGCTTCTGCCACGTTTGCCTTTGCAACCGCGTCTTCTCTGCTGCGACAGTCCCTTGTAGCTTTTGCTATTCGCGTTGGAGTAGCATTCTGTGGCACGATGTCCGTAACGTCCGCAATAGTCACACTTGCTGCCATATCCTCATTTCTGCTGCCACTCCGCTCCCTAGTTCTCGCCGTTATTGTTCTCCCATATTTTTCTCTTTGTAGTTTTTTCTCCTCGGATTCTCATAGCATTTAATCGCCTTATGACCCCGCTTTCCATACTGGTAGCACGCTCCAAGGACCCTCGTCGCCGCCACATTCATCATAGCAGGCCTCTCCGGCTCCATGCCCTTGGCAAATTTCTCCTTTCGCTTCTGATCCTCTCGTGCTCGCTCCAACGGCTGAAACATAGCAATACGTTTCGTCATGTTTTCAGGTGGGTGGCAGATCAATGACGCTCTCACCCGACAAATCCTCTGGTATTCTTTTGACGATGTGCGCTATCATCGCCCGTTCACTTTCCGCCTCGCCCATCGTAGCTAGGTCATTTTTGTAGCTCCTAGTCATGTTGACATAGTCGATGTTCAGTTGGTTGGGCTCCATGGTCATCAACAGCAGCTTCTTCCTCACATCGCTATGTTCTTGTCCATGTGTCCGAGATAGGTTGACTCCATGTACACTCATGCCGTTTGTGCAAAGTTCTCGAGCTCTGCAAAGTCATTCATACTCATGGCAATCCCGTCAGCAATGAAGTGACATAACTTAAAAAACGCTTGCTTACTCCTTTTCTTGTATTGCACTGTTTCTACATCCCATTTCGCTGCGCACTTGTCTGTGTCTCCTTTCCTGTCCAGTCGATAGTATTCCCAAAAACCGACGTCCTTTGCCTTCCTTATGAACTTCAAATGCCACGTGCTGTAGTGCTGTCCGTGAAAGCGTTGAGCTTCACTCAGCCCGATCGTCGGCTTCATCACCAATCGGCTGCTCACAAGGGCCTCGAGAAAGGGCTTCACTTGCGGGTCTCCTATGCTCACGCTGGAACCCGAACTTGCCTCGTCCGCCATGGCGTAGGCTTAAGCAGCTCTTCCTTTCCACCAGTTCCAAGTAAATTGACGACAAGCAACGCGCCCGTTCGCCTTATCCCTAATATATCTTTCTTCCGCGATTCTTGTTCTTCATTAAGTCGGTAGTTAAAAGGACGGAACGCTGTGTTAAAAAGAGCAGACAACATTCAAAAGTTGCCTGTCTAGATGGTTAAAAAACCGGTAGGTTACATTATGCTAGCATAGCTTCAGTTTTTGTCAGGCTCAATGAATCATCATATTAGACGATGTGTGTATTGTTTAAGCGCATCGCTTGCATCCATGATTTTCCACTTGAGAGCACCCCTGATACCGCTGGGAGATGTTGTCACAATGATCCATTAGTTAATGAAGACATTATTGGATGAACATCCTCATGCTACAGACGTGCAAGTTTTCATTGGCAACATCTATCTTGAGTCAGCAATGTCCATAACAACAATGTCTTCAAGACGGAGGAGTGGGTGGTTCACAAACAACATGGTTCAGGTTACAATGTCTTTGAACCCTGCTCTCCAACTTATAAAATGTCCCAATGGTTTTGGAAGTGGGGACTGCACCGATTGTTGAGGTGAAGCCGGCATCCGGGCACGCTTTCAAGGTGACAGGGGCGGGACGTGCAGCATGCAAAGGTGCAGACGGCAAGCCAGTGGTGCTGAGCGATATGCTACCTGTCCCTGACCTCATGCGAATCTTGTATTTCTTAGAAAGCTGGCCAAGTGCAGGGTCAGCACCTCCACCGATGATTTCTTTGCTTTGCTGAATGTTCTGAAACTTGCAAGGCGTCTGGCACGCTTTGAACACGATGGTTGTTAAGTGTGCGGAGATAACTTCAGCAACGGGAGCTAGACTACGGGCTAGGCACGGGGCTCGTGTGATCTCTGTGTTCCTTAGTCGTTTGCTTGTGTGTTCTCTGCTTGCACATTCTCGGGGAGATTTTGCAAGAGTTTCACTAGCAAAGATTGACAACAATGGTTGCAACAACATTGGCATCACAGACTACATCAAAACTAGCTAGGCTGCTGGTCGAACGCGCTCCAGCACAGCAACGCTCGCACCGCTCCAGCGTTGCAGAGTAGCGGTTCGCCAACGTTGCAAGTCCACAGTGTGCCAACGCTGCAGCAAGTCGGCTGCACAGCGTTGCACCCGCAGGACAACGGTGCATCTGCTTCGCAGGTGCGTGCAGCTGGTTGGCACTCTACACCTTGTCACGAGCACAGCGCAGACGCCTGGCAGACTCCACGCCAGCGACTGCACCCACCAGCCACGTCAACCTCGGGATACCACCCCCGAGGTCGGCCTCGCAGACTCCACCCTGGCGACACTCGCGCACGTCGCCCGGGTATCCCGGTCGACCGGGCAACCACGCCTGGTCGACCAGCGCATTCCGTAGCCGGCCACACATGCCCGGCGTCCCCACTCCGGCGACCAGGTGCCCAGGTCGGCGTCCGGGCCCCCAGGACGCCCAGGTCGGCGTCTGGGCCCCCAGGACGCCGTGCAGACGCCCAGGGCGGCGTCCCAGGCTCCTAGGACGCCGTGCAGACGCCTAGGTCGGCGTCTGGCCTTCTAGGACGCCGTCCAAGCGTCCAAGACGCCAACCAGGCGTCTAGGACGGCGTCCTCCTGCTCGGCGCCCTCCAGCCAGGCGCCCTTCAGCTCGGCGCCCTCGTAGTGGCCCCCGTGCCCACTGCTGCAGGTCGGCTGCAACCCCTGCACATCCGACCACGAGGTCGGCTCCGCCCAAGCGAGGACGGGGCCAAACAACACTCCCGTTGACACTCCCCTGCCGCGTTCACGCTTGGGCCCCCAGCCCACACGGCAGTACAGCTCCGAGAATAGCCCGTCGGAGGGCACCCAACACACAGCACACCGGTCACCGCACCAGCCATGCAAGAGGGCATGGCACCTACTGCTGCACGTCGTCGTCGCCGTCGCCCACGCCGGCCAAGCGCACCTGGCCGATTGCGACGGAGCACCGGTTGAAGGCCGGGTAGTGCAGCGCCTTTGTCAAGAAGTCAGCTGGCTGCTCGGTGGTCGGGATGTACCTCAGCGAGAACTTCCCGCGCCTCACCATGTGCTGCAGCCAGGCCTGTCGCCGCTCCATGTGTTTGAGGTTGCCCGTCAACCCTATGCCCTCGGCGAACGTGATGGCCGACTTGTTGTCCACCCTCAAGACAGTCGGCTTCCCGGC